GTGATACTTCAGCCTTGAATGACTCCGTAAATCTAGTAAACCTTAAACCCAACTCTGTTTCATTTAAGAAGAAGAAGCCTAACCTTGGTTCATTAAAGAAGAAGAAGGCCAATGGCAAGAATAAGAACAAAACCAATGAGAATCAAAAGGGAAATAATGGGTATAAGAAAATGAAGGATTTAAAGAATACCCAGTACTATAACTGCAAGAAATTTGGGCACATGATGAAGTATTATAGAGCAACCAATAATAGAGCACCCAAAAATACGAATCCCTGAGGCAATAGGTAGCATGCTTGTGAGGTCCCTGAAACCATGCGAGCTGTAGGGCCACGGTGTTTTGACGCAAAGTCCACTGCGCATGTATCAAACACCAAGAATGGGTACATAAATTTTAAGCATGTTGGCCCTGGGGATTAGTATGTCTATATGGGGAGGAATCAAAATAGTGAAATTTTAGGTACTAGAGATTTTGCCCTTCAACTTGAGAATAGAAAGACCATGAACCTAAAGCAAACTCTTTATGCTCCTAAGATGAGGAAGAGTTTCGTTCTGGTAACTAGATGGGCTAAGGAAGGCTAGTCCACCATTTTTACTGGTAATAAGGTGGTGGTGAAACATGGGAATGAATTGGTCACGAATAATTATCTTGTAGATAGTTTCTTTTCAATTGAAATAAAGAATTCAATTTCTTATGTCTCATTTTGTAATCATGACAATGATGATGCGTATATATGGCACATGAGACTAGGGCACATAAATCCTGACACGAGGGTTATCCTTGAGGGTAGGGATGCCCATTTCCTTGAGGGAAAATTCCTCGAGGGTCATGCCACTAGAAAACAAGCCAAGTTTTATGAGATAGAGAGTGACAAGAGTCAGGTCCTAGATCCTGAACCACTTTGTCCAGGATAAGTAACCGAATTAGAAGAAACTTTGAGTTTTTCACCTACCTAGGAGCATTCTATGAGAAAATTGAAGAATAATCCATACATGAACCCTGTTCCTAGCAAGAAGCCATAACCTGTTATGAAAAGGCACAATGGGAAGAAGCCATGATTGATGAACTTAACTCGATCAAATAAAATAGTGTTTGGGATCTAATGAAACTGCCTCCTGATAAAAATCCATAGGTTGTAAGTAGATTTACAAAAAAAAATTGAACTCGGAAGGGAAGTTGGAGAAATACAAAGCCAGATTAGTTGCTAAAGGATTACCTAAAAAGATGGAATAGAATATGATGAGAACTTCTCCCCTGTAGCAAAATTCCCCTCCGTTAGAATCCTAATAGTCATCGCAGTCCATGTCGGCTTTGAACTCCACCAGATGGAGATCCATTAAAAAATGTGATCTTAAAATGGAGCCCTTTGGTTGTTTCATATAAACTCCTAAGAAAAGGGAAAGGAATAGTGTAAACTCAAGAAGTCACTTTAAATAAGCATCAAGGTGATGGTACATTAACTTTCAAGAGACCTTATCATTTGTTGTTTTGTACCTAACCAGGAAGATTACTGTATATATGTGAAGATCAATGGGAGTGACATGGCTTTCATCTCTTTATATGTGGATGACATGTTAATTGCCAGTAGTTTGATGAGTCTCGTATTGGAGACACAAGCTTTATTGGCACAACATTTTGACACGAAGGATCTTGAAGAAGCATCATATGTTTTAGGAATCAAAATTACCAGAACTAGAAAAGAGAGAACTATTCAATTATCTCAAGAGACATATTGTAAGAAAATTCTTGACAGATTAAAAACAGAAAATTGTGGAACCATATTAATCCCCTTTGATAAGACGAAGCTTCGCCTAGCCATGTTCCCCACTACTCCATAGGAAAAGGAAGCCATGCAGAGAATTCTAAATAGAACTGTAGTTGGATCACTAATGTGTACTATGTCTAAGACAAGACCGGATTTATTTTGCCATGAATTTGATTAACAGGTCTTAGAGTAATCCAAGCATGGAGCACTAGAAAGCCATCAAAAGAGTATTGCGATATTTGAAGGGAACAGTTAGTTACACACTCACTTATGGAGAAAGCTCAGATATATAGATACAAGGGTATTCAGATGCGGACTACTAGGGCGATCTACATGAGATGAAGTCCACATCTGGATATATCTTCACACTTGCAGGTGGAGCTGTTCATTGATGCTCAAAGAAACATGATGTTGTTGCACTCTCGACTATAGAATCAGAGTATGTGGCATGTTGCCTCGCGGAAAAAAAAGCAATCCGGTTGAAGAAGTTCCTAAATCAACTTAGATATGATTCAATCAAGTGTCCGTGTGTTCTAAACTTCTGGGACAACCAGGCAGCTATTTGTGTGACAAAAGAGCTCACATTTCACAAGAGATCGAGCCATATAAAGCCATGCTACTTCCACATTTGCAACGAGATCTAAGTAGGAGAGATTCAAATTGCGTATCTCCCAAAAGAGGCCCTATTAGTAGATCCTTTGACGAAAGGATTGATGGCATTGTGGGATGGGCTTGAGAGAAATTGGGAGGGAGTGATTGTATAGCCTTCAAAGGCTAAGTGGGAGATGCACTTCAGTGGGAATGTGTGTGTTGATTGATCATAGGTTGGTAGGTTATAACCTTGATTATGTCCAAAACCCTTACCCCTGGGCATGCGACACTGTCGAGAAGGGTTTACAATAGGTCACCCTTGGTTGATGTCGGAGAGATGGCCAGGGATGATGTTTATAAGCCAAAAGAACCGTGTGGTCCCCTGTGTGTGATTGTTAAGCCTACGAACGCAAGGGTTAAAGCCTCAACAAACTTTCGCACGCCATGTATACATGATAGCCGCATTATTAGGTAGCAGCCTATAGAAGGATACGTGTACATATGCATATAGAGAGCCCCCTTTGCATTGTGGTGAGAAGAGCTAGAATTGTTCTTAAAGGGGAGAACTGTAATCCACATTTCAGGATCATAGTTCCACTGTTTATTGTCCACCTTTGAGATTGTAAGTCACGGGTTGGGTTGGATAAGAAAATAGTAGTGGATCATGGTTCTTAGATCAAGTGGAGTAACCTTATCGTCGCTAATTGTGACCCATTGATACCAGTCCACTTCTAAATTATTTTATTTTGGTATTAGAAATATTTTTATGATTTCTACAAATTTTTTCATAATTTTCAATTTTTATATCTGTTGTAAAATTCATTGAAAGGGTATTTTTGAAATTTTCAGAATTTGAGAAGGCATATGTGGTGACCAAGGATCCAGCCCCCACATGTGTATGCCATCCATGTGCGGGGCTCACGTGATCCCCTAAGGTAGCACGCTCTATTTTTTTAATTCCTAAAGATTATGGAAGATCTAGATAATGTGGTTATTATTCATATTTCAAACATAAATTGAACTTGGGTCAAATTATAAAGGGATAAGGTTCCTAATTTTCCTGATTTGTGGAATGGATGACTCAGATTAAACATCTCTCACTCCAAAGATTTTTTAATTATATTAAAGGTCAAGCTGAAAAATAAGATAAGGCATATCTAGATGAAATCCTACTCCAAGTAGGAAATAGATTTGTTTCTATATAACCTTGTTTAAACCTCTCCCAAAATTATGTCAAGCCTCTCTCTCTCTCTCTC